CATATATATATAAGAGATATTATTTTGCATTACATTTATGAGGCATTGTCTCATGTAATTTAAATCATAATAACAAAATGGGTTTTATTTTCTATACAGTCCTCAACCTGGAAGATATGTTTTGTTCCTAACCATCTATAATCCATTCTCTAAGTGAAGTGAAGCCTGGCTGCTGGTCTTCCTTTGGAAATACACAGTGAATCAATTATGATAAAAACAAAAACAAAACAAAACTTGAATCTAAAAAGTTTCAATGAGATATAATTTTAATTTATTTAATTATTATTATTAAGATAATTATTAGTTTTTTTTTATTTAAATGTTTATATTTTTAAAATGGATAAAAAATAAAATCTGATAATGGAAATCAATACTATAAAGATAGCAAGTTTTTTTATCTTTAAGTGCTGATGAATTTCTGAATTTTCCATTAAATATTGACATTATATCACAGGGAAAAGAAAAACTACTTGAGTGTTTCTACTGACCCCCCAGAGATCTGCTTATGAGTGCATGGGGGATTGCGGTGGACCTTCATCTCCTGTTTAAAACAGACATTAGAGTATGACAGATAAAAAGGTACTTTTTTTTCTTCTTTATTTTACATCACATGAAAACACACAATTAATGATGATGAAGAATGTACACATGTTTTTCATAAGTGTGTACAAATTGTTCAATATAATGTCTATAATGAATCCAATTTCCTCCTGCTAGTCCACAGGCAATCTTGTAAGGAAAAGCATAAGTCTGGTAAGGTAAACTTTCCCCCATTTCTTGTAAACAGGCTTGAAACCATTGCTCTCTGTTTTGTGGGGTATCCTGATATGTGGAAATTCTTTTAGGTCGGTGACTTGCTTTTCCATAATCCCATTGAGCTAATAAACAAATGACCACAGGAGTTTGTGAGGTAAACACCTTAATAGTGCCTGGAATTCCTCTATCTTCTTCTACAGCTAAATTTCTAGTCCCTAGAGGTCTGCGAGTGGCATAGAGATTGGCTTGTGGGAATTTCTCTGCAATACTTTGACTCAATCCATGAGCTTTTACAGTTAAACAATTACATTGATGAACAATAGCTTCTACCTCACAGTTGAGTAAATCACCTTGTATCTCCTGGAGACTCATGATGTAAAATGAATCTATTTTTTAAATCACCCTTGTTTTTATAGAACAACAACAACAACACAATAAAACTAGAAGTAATAATTTTTAAAACTACATATCCACATTAAATTGGGGAACATTTTTATAAAGGAAAAGGGTTCTTCAAATGTTCCCCAATTTAATGTGGATATGTAGTTTTAAAAATTATTACTTCTAGGAAATTTATGGGTCTTTTGTCTTTAGCATCCTTTATAACAGAAATTCTTCAAAATTGCTTGAAGAATTCCATGAGTTTAACTTATGGTAAGAGCCTTCCTTAGGTTAACAAGTGTATGGTTGATAGCAAATGCTTAATCAATATATTGATATTTAAGGATGATATTGAAACTTTAAATATGTACAGGTCAGGCAATTTGGAAATTTTGATCATCACAAATTATATTTGACTGTATTAAAAGCAGTAATTTTAGATAAATATTAAGAAGATTACACAAACACTGTACTTTCACACTCTGGTTTTACAAACATGAAAAGTTTGAATTACTAAGGATTAATCATAATGACATAAAAAGACAAGACTTACAAAATAAATATTAAAATACTCAGTCCTCAAGCTTGAAAGTTTTTAAAGATTGAAAGCCTGAGAGTCTGAAAGCCTAAAAGTCTGAAAGTCTGAATCTCAAGATTCAATATAAATTGTATTTTGAAGCATTGAAAGTCAGTATATGATTTGCTTGTAAAAATCTCTAAAATAAAGGAGCACATTCAGCGACATATTATAGAAAGAGTAGGAGATTTTATAATTACCTAATTCCTTACAAATGAAAAATATCACTATGAGATCCTTATAATGAAGTTTTACTGTAGCAGGAATACATTGACCTTTAACCTGAAAAGTCAATAGAGGTGTTAAGATATTCATGGACAACAATGGAATAGCAAAAATTGTGCTGATCTTTGACCTGAAAATCAAAATATATGAAGTTTGTTTCCTTAACCTATCCATGAAGTTTGATGAATATTAACTAAACAATTGTCCAATTAAATAAGATGTCCACATCTCTTTGACCTTTTGACTAAAAACTTAATAAGGTCATTTATTTACCTTTGTTTGACTTTGATGAGTATCTTATATGTTGGATATATTAGCAAGACACAATCTAATCTGAGTGAAGAGGAAACCTGGAAAAGCTTTTATCCCTTTGTATGAACAAATTAATTGATGTCATGCAGATATCTTAACCAAAATATCAGAACAATCTGATGACTCTTAAATAAAAAGTTCTCATTATACTAGTCAGAAACCATTAGTCTACCTGTCAAACAAAAAATTTGAATGTCAACTCAACAAAGTAAGTAGGGTTCCTTTTCTTCAAAAAGTAAAATTTTGATGGATTAGGTGAGTGTTTGTTACTTTATGCCTATAAAGAAAAATATATGCCCTCCATTTTGACTGTATGGATTAAGAACTGTTTATATAATTGAATAAAACTTATTTCTTTCATGTCATTCTTAATGTCATAGTACCCATCATTCATAATATGTACAAATCTCAATCCTAATAGATGAATCCACATTTTGTTTTTATTTCACATCACTTGGCGGCCATATTTGAGGGAAACTCAGAATTCTCTGTCCATGTTAATTTATGGTGTATACCTTCATCATTTGACATAACTCATTTGCTTTTTGTATTTTGATTGCCTAAATCAGAGCTATTCATACATAGAAAGAGGACAAAAAATGAATACAGTGAATATATTGCAATAATACCTACATGTTTGATACATAAAGAGAAATATTTTTTTTCATTTCTTTTTGACCTTTGGATTGACCCTGAATGGAGATACCATTTACTTTTTGGCAAGTGTAAACTATATACTGAATGACTAAACGTGGTTTGTATATTGAAATATGAAATGGTTTCTTAAATGCTTAAATCAAAATACTCCAACTGTCCTAGTGAGAATTATGCTCAATCAACTCTGTGAAATATTCCTAACTTCCAATGCTTCTTATTTACATTTTAAAAAAAAACTGTCTCAAATAAAATTGTTCGTTTTCTCATTTATTTTACAAGGAATTACATGCTAACAGTGAATCTAATCATTTTTTAAACTGGTTAAAGTAATGTTTACGATTGTCTTAAAATGCTTAAATGTAAGTTTATTTCATACACAAATACCTTAAATGTATAGACTAAATGTACTTGTAGATTCAATATATAGACTAACCCCTTATAAATAGTAAAAATCATTTTTTAAACCTGATTTTCTTCCTCTTTCTATATATTAAGTTTTCTCAAATTATTGATTACATAAGCAAACAAATTTAAGACAAAACCACAATATATGCTGAATACCCTGAAATGAAATGGTTATATATATAAGATGTGTAACACATCATGTACAAGTTTTATGTCTACAAGATTTTAAGCTACCCGTATTATACAAAAAGACTACTTTTTTAAAGTTATGAAAAATTCTCCACAAAAATATGTCTTTATGCAAAAGATAAATGTTAGGGTACACTTTTAAAATACATTTTACACGAATCACATAAAGAACATTACAAATCATTTCTTCGTGCTTGTTTTCCTTTTGGAACATCTGTGAACAGATATTCTGTTTTGTCTTATTGATACACAAAAAGCGTCCAAAAATCATTTGGAATTGTTGTGTTAAACCCTGATACTCAGAATTTTAAGAGTTTCTGATGTGTGCACTACTTAGAAATGTTTACAATGTAACAAAGATGAAATTCCTAATTGATTTAATCAGCAATTATAAAGTCATCAGGTTTACACATGCTTTTATAACACATCATGTACATTTTTTTTTCTACTAGTATGTCTTTGTTCACAAAAAAAATTGAAATCAACAGTACTTAGCATTCCATATTAAGAAATATGAACCCTAGAAAATCTAAAAGTATATTTGTGCATCAATGCAATATGTTTAACAAAACAATCTCTTTCACTGTGATGAAAATTGTCTTTTTCATAGAACATGCAGATGAAGAACTTCTTTGGATGATGTCATTTTCACATGTATAAAAAGAAACTAATTCAACTAAAACTAAAAGTCAGTCATTAAAATTTTAAGGACATTAAAGGATGATATCAAGACTGAAGTCCAGGAATTGATAAAATTCTACAATTATCATCCAAAGATGTATATGTTTGGATTTATTTTTTAATTCACAAGCAAATGATATGCTGCCATTTAATCTTTCAAACTTAAAAAAAGTTCTATACTTTTGAATGAAAATTTCAAAATCTAGAGGAGTCTTCCCAATACCTATCTATTTATGACTGAATATATGTAAATCACTAGAGTTGCTGTACTGTACCATTTGAATAAAAGTCATTTCAACATTCTTGAATTTTTCCCTAAACCTTATTTCAAAACATATATTATTCCAACCAGTCTTTATCTATGCAGTGAAAAGATTTTTACAGAATTCTTAGGTATTACATAGTAATAGTCTTTAAACATCCTTGAACATAGTGCATATGATTTTCATTTCAATTCTTTTCAAATAATATGCTATGCCACCCAATAAAGCTGATATAAAGTCTCTAGGTTATCACAAAATGTTAAAATTATAACAACCGAATTTTACCCAGGAGAAAAAATGATCCAAAAGTCTATAGAAAATCTCCGATTCATTCTTTACTAATGTTGTGAAGTTTGTAGGTTACAAATTATTTTCAAAGGTAGTTATCTCGATAACTTCATCCCTTTGCCTTGACAAATTATCCTATAAAACTAAGTGTATTACTATAACCTGTTCTGTGTAATAAGCATGAAGTATATGAGATGATAAAAAATATTCAAGATATTATTACGTCACAGATCAGGGGGCACTTACATTTTTATGGGGGGTCTTATTGAGACCTATTAAATTCAAAATAGGACACACACACATACACAAACAAAATGTATTTACAGTTCCTGGAAAGTAATAATTACACCAAAGCTAGCTTTTAAACATCTGTGTAATTTGTTAGGGGTTGTAGAAATAAGATGAAAAATAAAAGGTTTAAATGTATACTTCTCATGCATAACAACTGTCTTCAATATGAAGTGGTAAAAATAAAAGTTACATTTAGATACTTTGAAGTCTGGGAATTATTATTTTTTTTAAGATCTCATACTATCAGAAAATCACAATATCAATTCTAGGATTTGATTAAACCTCAGTTTGTTATATGACTGCAATTTATCTATTGTTGTGTATGACAGAATATGAAAGAATTGAAGAGGAGAGCTTTTGATCTTTTTTTTTCCCTTCATCATAGTTGAAATTATATATATTATACAGGTCTTTATCTATGTAGTGAATATAGGATTTTTACAGAAACCCTAGGTATTACATAGTAATAGACATATAAACACCCTTGAACATTGTACATTTGATTAACATTTCAATCCTTTCCTAAGAATTTGCACCTAAGTTTTATAAAGTCTATAAGTTATCACACAATGTTAAAGTTATTGCATTACAACTCATATCAGTAATCCCAGTAACTAACTTTTACCCAGGAGTAAATGATCCTAAAAATCTATAGAAATATTTTATTGATTCTTCATCTGGGTACTTATGATGTGAAGTTTGTAAGTTACAAATTATTGTCAAAGAAGTCATCTCAATAATCTTATGCTTTGACCCTGACAAAATGTTCTATAATACTAAGTGTATTACCCTAACCTGTTCTGTGTAGTAAGCTTGAAGTCTACGGAATGATAGAAATATTCAAGATATTATTGCATCACAAATTAGGGCACACTTACATTTTTAGGGGGGTCCTATTGAGACCTATTAAATTCAAAATAACACACACACATACACAAACAAAATGTATTTACAGATCCAGGAAAGTAATAATTACACCAAAGCTGGCTTTTAAACATCTGTGTAATTTGTTAGGGGTTGTAGAAATTAGATGAAAAATAAAGGATCCTATGTATAAAAATCATACATAACATCTGTATTCAATTTGAACTGAATGAATTAAAAGTTAAATTTAGATATTTTGAAGTCTGGGTTCAATACTTTCCTAAGAATTTGCACCTAATTTTTATAAAGTCTTTAAGTTATCACACAGTGATGAAGTTATTGCATTAAATGACTCATATCAGTAATCTCAGGAACTAACTTTTACTCAGGAGTAAATTATCCAAAAATCTATAGAAAATCTCCTATTCATTCTTTACTAATGATGTGAAGTTTGTATGTTACAAATTATTTTCAAATGTAGTTATCTCAATAATCTCATGCTTTGACCTTGACAAATTATCCTATAAAACTATGTGTATTACTATAACCTGATATGTGTAGTAAGCATATGAAGTGTATGAGATGATAAAAAATATTCAAGATATTATTGCATCACAGATTATTGGGCACCTGCATCTTGATGTGGGATATTAAGGGACCTTTATCATATTTCAATTTCTAAATATAATTATAGGGCACAATACACACATATACACAAATAAAATATATTTACATTTCCAGGAAAGTAATAATTACATCAAATCTAGCATCTGAATATCTATGTAATTTCTAGGGGGTTTGGAAATAAGATGAAAAAAATAAAAGGTTTAAATGTATACTTCTCATACATAACAACTGTCTTCAATATGAGTTGGTAAAAATAAAAGTCAGCTATAGATACTTTGAAGTTGGAGAGAATAAATTCATGCTATCAGAAAATCATGTTCTCAGTACTTGATTTGACTAGATCTCAGTTTGATAAATGGCTACATCTTATCCCTAGTCAGTGTCTGACAGTAAAAGATACAATCCTGGGTCCTTTCTTTGTCATCCTGTAAACCACAGTCTATGATCGTACTTAAATTGGTTGGAAATCATATTTATCTATGTGCTTCTTAAATCCTCCATCCACCTCCTGTTTGATTTTCTTGTTTCAGTGTTCCAAGAGAGGATATTCTGTTAGTCTTTGCATACTCTGATAGTCTTTCACCATTCTGAGAGTAGACATAGATCATTTCCATAAGCCCTCACTAGAATATCCTGGAAAATAAAAAAAATAATGTCTTAGTTAAATTTTTTTAAAATGAAATATAAGCTTGGTGGAATTCTAAATATAGACAAAAAAGGGTATATATACAGATTTTGACTTTTCATATTAACCATGGGTAACACCTCCAGTAAAGAAAAGAGTAAAGGAATGAGTAAAATTCAGTTTGGAGAGAGAGTTCTTTTAGAGAAAGATGTAGACAGAGGTATACCAGTTAGAATAAAAAAAGATGGCACTATTGAGATCATTTCTCAAGAAGAATATAACCAGTTATGTCCAGAAAAGGGTGATCCTAATGTTGTCAGAGATTACATAGAAAGACCCTTGATTGCAGAAGAAGCCAATGAAGAATATAACCATTTATTACCAAAAGAGGGTAAGAATTACTTGGATTACCCTGAAAGACCTTTGACTAGAGAAAAAGTCAAGTTTAAAGATGATAAGAGAAAACAGTTGTCAGAAAAAAGATTGTTAAAGACACATGATTTTTAGCCCACAAAACCATCGGAGAAGATACAAGGATTAATGGAGGAAGTCCAAACTAAACTCTTGGAAGACATTAAGGCTCATTATGAGAGTAACTTTCCAGTGTTTGTTTATTACAAAATTATGTATTATGATAAAAAAAAAAAGTTTTCACTTTCATTTGTTGTGCCTTAGACCATTTAAATTGACCTTATGGTTAAGATTGTGATATATACACTCTGATAATCATCTATGATGTCTCTATCATGTTTACCTCAAAAGATTGAATCAGGGTATTTGTGTTCAAAGAGCTGAAAAAACTATACAGACAGATCTAAGATTTTGGAAGCATACATATTAATGAATTTAAAGGAGATATAACACTTGAATTCATTACTAGATTATTAAAAAGAAAGAACACAAACTCATAGAAATGATATTGAAAGTACCTTTTATGAATAAAGTGTCATGCTCCAAGGTATATTTTTATAAACAGGAGAAGGTTTACAGCAGTCCCATGCACTCATAAAAAGATCTTGGGTAGTAAAAACACCAGGAAATTTTAATTCCACACAATCAGATCTTCTTACATCAGTTATAAGGTTACAGTCTTTGTACATAGTCAAAAGGTTCATTAAAATTTCTTTCTGGTCATTCTGATGAGCCACATTATAGTATTCTTACCCTGTGATATAATGTTAATATTAAATGAAAAATTGAGAATTCATAAGCAATTGGAGTAAAAACTTGCTATCTTTACCAACTATGCTATTAAGGAAGCTGGGGGTTAACAAATTAGCCATATTTAATTTATTCTATAGATATGCTATCTTCAGCTGTTAACTATTATTTGGCAAAAAAAAAATTATTCATTTTAGTTTCAAAATTTAATCATGCATTTTTGTATATATTTATATGGAGCTCTTCTTCTAAAGGAGATCAATATAGTCAAAACATGACCATGACCACCAAGCCCTCTTTATTTAAAAAAATCATATATAATTTACTTATCAATTCAAAAATATAAACATGCATATGTAAAATAAATAAATAAAAATTACAATTGTATCTCATTGAATCTTTACCTTCAAGTTTGTGTGTTTCTATGTTGGTTGACTAACTGTGTATTTCCAAGGGAACAGCAGACAGTCTGAACTTCATAGAGAATTGATTATAGATGGTTAGGAACAAACCATATCTTCCATGTTGATGACTGTAGAAATAAAACCATTTTGTTAATATGACAGAGTACTGCATGAAACAATGCATGTTTAAATACAACATGTACAATGTCAAAAAAGATCATGAAAATATTTGTTTTTAATCTCAAAAATTGTTTTTAACATTAACTCCAGATGAAAAAAGTTCATCATGTTATCTTAAGATTATTAAAAAAAGCACAATTACTGTATTAATATCAGAAATAAAATGATTATCAAATTAATTATTTAGACACTAAAAGATTTTTTATTAACAGCAGATTCAATTTTGGTTTAATAACTGTCAGTACTGCATACAGAAAAATACATTTTTTTTAGCATCATCACAGTACAACATGTAGTCCTTCATTTTTTTGAAAAGCTCATTACCAAGAAACAAAAGTGAAAATGAAATTATATGTATGCCATATATCACACATATTTAGAATCAAAACAAAAAGTAAATAACTTAGAATTAATCTTTTGTAAATTCTTCCTTTTTCTCTTATTAGATTCCTAATTAATATCTCTTTGATCACCATTTAGTAAGTCTGAATTCCATGGGTAACATACATAATGAATTATGAAATTATATCATGATTTATACAAAAGGACTTATTAATATTCTGAAGATCCCTTAATCATGTGTTAATATATTGTAGGTTAAATAAGGGTGTGCTTATATAAATGTAAGTTAGAGACAACAGATCACATAAGTATTGCACAGTAATTAAATTAACCATATAATCATGCTTAAATGCAAAGATGACCTTCATAGGAAATGTAAACAATTAAAAAAACAAGACAAACTTACCAGAGATATCCAACTATATGCCCAATAAGCCTGTCCATTAAATAATCCAGTGAAATAACATCTCAGCTGATCCTGAAAAAATCATACGATTCAGTGATACACATTCAACCTCATTTTACAATGTAAGTAAAGCAATAATTTACAGACAAAAGGGACAGAAATGTAAAAGATACCATGTATTTTACCAAAATTTAGTGAATATTTTTCTGATTGAAATTCAATCATAGAATGACCCATCATACAAATATTAAATGTACTCTGAGTTACATGCAGGTTTTACAACTGTAAATCACATGAAATGATGATAAATACAGCATTTACATTCAAAATAGAACTTTACATATAAATTATGATTAAATGCAAAGATGATCTTCATAGGAAATGTAAACAATTAAAAAAAAAAAGACAAACTTACCAGAGATATCCAACTATATGCCCAATAAGCCTATCCATTAAATAATCCAGTGAAATAACATCTCAGCTGATCCTAAAAAAAATCATACAATTCAGTGATACACATTTAACCTCATTTTACAATGTAAGTAAAGCAATAATTTACAGACAAAAGGGACAGAAATGTAAAAGATACCATGTATTTTACCAAAATTTAGTGAATATTCTTCTGATTGAAATTCAATCATAGAATGACCCATCATACAAATATTAAATGTACTCTGAGTTACATGCAGGTTTTACAACTGTAAATCACATGAAATGAGGATAAATACAGCATTTACATTCAAAATAGAACTTTACATATAAATTATGATTAAATGCAAAGATGACCTTAATAGGAAATGTAAACAAAAATAAGACAAACTTACCTGTGGAATATGTCTGTCAGAAAGGAGATTTCAAAAATGAACACGCTCTCAACATTCACATGACAAGAATGCATCAGGATGTTTACTTCAGTGGTCATAGAGAAATTGAGCTTTAAACAAGAAAAGCTTCACAGCGGGAAAATCATCGTAGTAAAAGAGAGGAAAAACAAAAGATAGTCCTACATTTTCTGAAAATCTAAGTTCACTTCTTAGAAACAAAAGTGAAAATGAAACTTTAATTTTACAAGTGTATGATGTAATAATGCATAGGTAGCTAGCTGACTAGACTGTGTACAAAATTGTACATAGTACGATCAAAATGTAAGTCCAAACTATTTTTGCACACGACCCTAATTTTTTGCACACGGTCCTTACAGATGATGCAACAGGTATAAAAAAGATGATGCAACAGGTAGTAGTAGCAGCGTACCAATGTAAACACAGTGTAAACACACCCCCGTACTTAGGGGGCTATATGTACTGAATTGACCAGGCTATCCACCACAGACCCCCTAATCTGCACTCTCTTGACCCACATATCCCCCACAGGGGCTGCATTCCCTTGACCCGCCTATCCCCTCCAGGGGCTGCACTCAGTTGACCCACCTATCCCCTCCAGGGGCTGCACTCAGTTGACCCGCCTATCCCCCCCAGCCCCAAAAGTGCACTCAGTTGACCTCGCCATCCAGACCGTTTATACTACTACCGTATGCTTATAAGGAAATACTAAATAAGGAATAAATGGAAATAAAGTTAATCTTATTTATTTTTTTCTTTAAAAATAAAACTGGATTCTAGTTTACTCTTGGAAAAAATACAACTTTCATGAACAAGAGGACAAATCTATCGTATGACCGAATAAAGGCTTTTCTTTTCATTCCATCGAAAATAATCCCAAATTTTTTACATACAGAGGACTTGTTTTTTATGGAGAGTGAGAGAAGAAATGTGACGAGTTTAAAGAAAAGTATTAAATAAAAAGAAAATAAACAAAATATAGACTTACGGAGGAATGATTTATTCCTGCTTCCTCATTGAATTCCCTGAAAATAGGAAAA